CAATACAAAAACATGCATAACCTTTTAAGCATTAGCATTAATGTACAAATTGAGCCTTCAAATTTCAAGCCTTAACAATTCATAACTACATAAGAAGTTTCTACAATATAATAATATGTGCAGTTGATCAATAATATGTGTTGTTGTTCCAGCCCAACAGGAACATCACGTTATGCTAGTGTTAACACCCATCTTGGAGTTGGTAAGTGAGGATGATATCACACCAAGTACCTAGTAGTATGTTAAATTTTACATAATCACCTCTCTTACTTGTATGCAGAACAAAGCAGAATAGACGATCTGGAGTCTCTTGGTTATGTGCTTATGTATTTTTTGAGAGGAAGGTTCGGTAGTTACAAATAAGTATCAAAACAAGGAAATGTATGAACTACCATTCAACCTACCAGTTGTACTTGACTCTTTGAAGCAAAAGCTAAGTGATTACTTGATCATGCATAATGCTTGAAACTCCAAACATTCAGTAGTTAGACTTAGGCTCAACTACTGAAAGGAATAAACTAGTAACCAAGGGGACTATTAGCTTTATATAAACACAAAAGCTATTATCAGGTTGAGTTACTTTTTGCTAAGAGATCCAAGTGTAGTTACTGTTAAATGGGTGTCAACTGATCCAGAAAAGGTCCAAGCAAATGTTGAATTGGCCTAGACTAATGAATTTGAGACCAAAGAGTAATTGTTGTTGTTCAAAAGAGTAACTGTTGTTGTTCAACAAAGGGGCTGCCAAAACTATTGGGGTTGGACTATGAGGTTCAATACAAGAAGGGGTCTGAGCTGATGCTTTATCTAGATAACATGAAGACAGTTGCCATTCCATTCCATGAAGACAGTTGCCATTGAATTATAGAATATTGTGAAGAGATGCTCCTCCAAAATAAAAGTTTATTCTAGAATGACCAACATGTGAACAAGAACTCCAGGGCAGTTTTCCAAGAAGACCAACTAGTGCAAAGACAGAATCCAAAGAAATGAATTTTGAAGATATACTAGTGCAAAGACAATCAAAAGCCAAAATAACACAAGCCAGAGACAAACTGAATACTATACAAGCCAACATTAACACTCATACCAACAACCAGCACTCATACTCATACCAGTAACAAGCAACCAACAACCAACAAATATTACACAATAAGGAGAAAGAAAAGTTGTAATAGTTGGTGAATCATATAGGCTGCAATGCCATAGCAACCAACATTAACTGTGTCTTTTCATTTTCAGCCAAGTTCCCTATTTTAAAGATTGTGAACTTACATGAACAATGCGAGAACGCTCATCAACAAAAGACTTTCCATCATGACCATGCGTATGGACGTGTGAATGTAACTCTCTTGGTGTTGAATCTTGACCCTTTTCAATAGCCTATACAAAAGAAAATCACTTTAATTTATAGATACAATCATATTTGTTGAGTAATATGTTTAGATACAAGTGTAGAGAAAGTAAAATTTTTACTTATATAGTTCATGAAATATGTACTTACATGTCTTTTGTGATATTCTCCCATTGAGATAGAGCCGACTGTGTGAGTCCCTGCTGCAGTTTCATGGCCGCCACAACGGTTCTTTGCATTTATTTTTGACTTCTTAATACAATCATCACTTTCCCAAAGTTCCATCCATCTTTCCCACACATGCTCAGGTACAAAACCTGGCCTAACTCCTTCTCCTTTTATTTTTGAAATGAAATTCCTGTAGTTTTACTGCCGCCTTAGCCTACCAGTGTCTCGTCACTTCGCTTTCACTAATGGAAACATCCCAATAGAATTATTTTTGAAAAAAGATTAAAAGTAATACATTTATATCATATCTATAATTGTGAATACACTTTGTAAACTCACTTACGACTAAAAGTTAAACCTTGAATTCTCCAAAATAACCATCTCTTACATCATTTGAGACACTTTTCCAATTGATTCCATTGGAATCAACATCATTTCTGAAAGACTTAGATATGAAACTCGAGCATGTTTTAGAAGGTTCCAATCTGTATACATTCAAAGACATTATTTGATTGGTTATCATTAAATCAAAAGTAATATAAGTATCTCAAACTATATCTACAAGTTCTAACAAAAATAATACTCAAATTATATCTGGCTGCTGATTCTCTATTCCTTCACAAAGCTTTCAACAACTTTTTATCACCTAAAAACTTGCAGAAAATAAAGTGAAAAAAATATATACCATTTTCTTCCTGTTAAAATCGGTATAGATAGAAATGTGTGTGCAAAGATCGGATCTTGTGTGCAAAGTGAGTGAGGATATAGAGAATTTGGACATTTCCAAGACTGATTGTAGTGAAAAGATCAGATCTTTACAAATAGAAAGTGAATTCTCAAATACACTGAGAGAAGTTTGAAAAAAATACATCTTCTATCTATGTTGACAGTAACTACTCTGTGATACAATATTTCTTAAGTTCTTTTCTTTCTTGGCATTTCATGTTTATGACGTGTATGTCTATATACTAGTATTGTTGACTACTTAAAACAACAGTTGGAACAGAGAACGTAAGTAAATAAAGGTTATAAGGATAAAAGTAAAAGAACGGACTAACCCTGCAGAAGTTAGAAAAATACGGGTCCGTGAATGGTTACTACTGGAATCGCCTTCAGCAATTGTGTTGCTATGACCTACTGAGTTGCTTTGATTTGGTGCAGCTGGTGGTGTCTTAGAGATGGTTGGGATAGTATTTTGAGCTGGACCCTGACCTATTGTGTTGCTTTGATTTGGTGCAACTGGTGGTGTCTCAGAGATGGCTGGGATAGTATTTTGAGCTAGACCCTGACCTATTGTGTTGCTTTGATTTGGTGCAACTGGTGGTGTCTCAGAGATGGCTGGGATAGTATTTTGAGCTAGACCCTGACCTATTGTGTTGCTTTGATTTGGTGCAACTGGTGGTGTCTCAGAGATGGCTGGGATAGTATTTTGAGCTAGACCCTGACCTATTGTGTTGCTTTGATTTGGTGCAACTGGTGGTGTCTCAGAGATGGCTGGGATAGTATTTTGAGCTAGACCCTGACCTATTGTGTTGCTTTGATTTGGTGCAACTGGTGGTGTCTCAGAGATGGCTGGGATAGTATTTTGAGCTAGACCCTGACCTATTGTGTTGCTTTGATTTGGTGCAACTGGTGGTGTCTCAGAGATGGCTGGGATAGTATTTTGAGCTAGACCCTGACCTATTGTGTTGCTTTGATTTGGTGCAACTGGTGATGTCTCAGAGATGATTGGGGTAGTATTTTGAGCTGACGTTTGAACAGTTGGGGTAGCACATTGTTGAGAAGATACTATAGTGGGCATGGGAATAGTTGGCTTGCTTACACAAATAGGCTGGATTACTTCTACCTGAGGACTTGCCACGACCTCTTCCTCGAGCCATACGTATATACAAATATAATTGTGTTGTTAGACCAAATCATAGAGAAACAACAAATTAAGCATAACCCATAATAATGAGAACTATTGCAACAACATAAATTAGAATGAAACAGTTATCACTAGTACAAAATCAAGTTCAGCTACTTGATCAGTGAAATGCTTTTCAATAAAGTGAAAGTGTGTTGAAGTATTAAAATTGCCGCTGAAAATCTTGTTGATAAAAGAGAAAGAATTGATGCCTGTAACTACAAGAGTGTAATAGCTATCATTGACTTCTATCAGAACAGATCATATTAAATTAAGGAACAAATTATTAAAAGAACCATGGACTTCTATTAGAAGCTTTACACAAAGAATTAGTAACTACATTCTGCAAATTTGTTTCTCGTAAGATTGGTGTCATGAGGCACACTCTTAATGTAGAAAGAGCAAGCAGCAGCTATATTTCTTGGTTAGTTCCCACTTACTTGTCTTGTTGGATTGCAATTATGAAGAAATGGTGACAATGTAAGTTGATTCAAATACGTAACTTTAGAGCACAATTCCACTTCTTACAGTTATATTATAGCATTATCAAGCTGCAGAAAAAGCAACTATTCTTTTTAAATGTCTTATCTAAAAAACAGAAGAAAAAGAAGATTCCAAATAGTTGCCTGCTTGTAACTGTATATCAATGCCTGTTTTGCAGCCTCCTCACTTTTTGATTTTCACAAGTATACACAAATTATCAAGATCTTTACTCCAAAATTTGCAGTATACAATACATTTACCGTACAATAATCATGATAATTACATACAATTGATAATTGATAGCAAGCATTTTCTATCCCTTTTTTTCCTCACCAAAGAAAACAACAAATGATCTTGAAACCATCATTCATTCATTACTACAATATGGGATTGAATGAATATTGGAAAGTTTTCTTTGAAATGTTCCATACTTTATTCAAATTAAGATCACAAAAGTCAATTAGACTAGTTAGTAGTTTTGATTGTCTAAATTAACTATTCGCAAAAAATAAACTTGGTATGAACCACATGTTCCTAAAGTTCGAGTATACATTGCATAAACTTT